GAAGAAAGATCAATTTAAGGACTAACGTGATTTGAGAAAAAGAAAGTCATATTATGACAACTTAAAGCAAAAAGGAATTTGAAAGGATTTAAATAGTCAGGAGAATTTAATGCCAGCCACTCGAATTTTGGGGTTGATAATTTAAGAAATTACGGTTTGGCTTAAAACATTCAAGATAACAGAGAAGCAGCTTTTGCAACCGAACAGGCAGCACACAAGTTCCCAGACGTCATAATGCCTTTTAAGATTACTGCAAATTATATTCTTCCTTGGCTTGTGGAATCTCTGAGGGAATGAAACCTTTGTGGGCTTCCAACTTGACTACTACTTTTTTGTTGTAAACTTCATAATCTTAGAAGCTGTTTCCTTTCTCTTTGAAAATCATCTTGTGACAATGGTCATGGGTATAGATCGAATTAGGTGTTGGTGGCTGGGAAGACCAACTGATTTATTTCTTTTTACTAAGGTTACTAATTCAATCATCTAAAGCCTTGCATAATCCAGAATTTTAGCAAGTGTCACCCCACATTTTCAAAGTTTTCAGGAGGTATTCCCTGAATGTTGTTTGAAAATGTTTCTCAAAATCGTAAAATTGTGAGAACTCCAATATTGTTTCATTTGGCAGCTTTTGCCCCATCGATAAACTTAAGAAAGTGATCGGTGGCAAAGCCTTACAGAGGCAGTTACAGAGTTCCGCAGCGGTTGCCCGCGTCTAGTCTACTGTTCAAGATACTAGGCCAGCGAGTCTAAGCCCACAGCACATCCCGAGGCAAGAATGCAGACTAGTCTCAGAAAAAGTACTAGATGTGTGTGTGTGTGTGTGGTGTGTAGGTTATATAATTCTGAGACCAGTATGAGTGACCATGCCTTGGGAAAACACAAACCCAAGATGCTGAGGTAAGGGTCCAAAGTGGTTAGCTACAATTCTGTTTTAAACTTCAGGAAGCAGATTACAGAAAATTATCAGAAACAGAGTGTTACATTGGATTTGGCAAAGCAAGTATCTAAGAGACGTTACAGGCAAAAGGACTTAATTTGAAGTGATAAAAAGAAAGTGTAAAAAAGTGAATCAGCAGAAAAGATAAAGTATTGAAGAGGATACTAAAAGATAAAAGAGCTGCGTGAATCATCTGGTGCTATGCCAGAGTTGGATATGAACACACACGATGCTGGGCAAAGTAACCTGTGAAGCAAAGACTGATAGTGCGCAGAACTGTCCCAAAGCCCGCTGAGGAAGAGTGTGAGCAAACAGGTCATGAGTTCATCCTCATCACTCATATCCAACATTGAGCACTGAGCGTATTTACAAAGTGAACAGTTTGTACCCTGGGTTTTTTTGGGCAGTGCAGCAGTGAAACACTACCAATAAAAATGCTAGATCGTAAGGAAAATCACATGTAAGACGTTATAGACGGGCCGAAAGTTAATCTAATTATCGAAAACGAACGAAATTCAATGAACAACTCAGACGCTTATAGATGATGGAATTATTTTTGTATTTCGGGGCAGTATAGATCTGTGATCAAATCCAATGCCTAAAGTAACAGAAAACATGTTAGTTGATAAATAACCGTGCCGCGGTGCCAGCAACCTAGCTGCTTGAGCCGAACGCGATGGCAATCAGAGTTCAAAACCAGCGCGACAAACAAACCCGCGCGAAGATAGAAAAAGATTAATGGCCAACTATATATATATAAAAAATTAGCCGGCATGTGGCGCATGCCTGTAGTCCCAGCTACCGGGAGGCTGAGGCAGAGGATCGCTTGAGCCCAGGAGTTTGAGGTGCTGTGAGCTAGGCTGAACCCACGGCACTCACTCTACCTGGGCAACAAAGTGGAACTCTGTCTCAAAAAAAAAAGAATATGTGACCTTGACATTTAAAGAAGAAGTATTTCTGATAATCTAAAAGGGGCGAGAGGTGATATTTCCCTCCTGCCGGGAATATTTCAAGATTTATGTATTTTTGAGTCGATACTAAAACAGTATAGCATTTCTAAACATCTCATGCGTCCTGATGAGAGATGTATATCCAGTTGATGAGATGAGGCAACTGGACACCAAATAGAATGATTGTCTGTAAATTCATGGGTCTGTCTATGCTCATCTTACCATTGATTTGGCGCACTGTGAATATCAGGATTCAGAAAAGTGAGCCAAAAAAATATAGTAAACCACTAGAAAATGATTAAATTGAACCTGAATGACCCAATGAAACGTATTTTGTTACAAATAACTGGTTATCGATTAAGAATATACGTCGATCACTGAATTAGATTTACATAAGTACAATATATAAATCCTCGAAAGAATAGCAGTTTCACAAACCTAAGTTTACAAGATTGGTGGCAGGAATCCTGCAAGCTTGAGGAATAATTACTTGCATGCGAAGTTACTCTGTGAAAGCCTCCTCAGATATGTTAGCCGGTACTCGTGATTGATTTTATGCTTCCTGTGTGAATCAATTTTGTATTTTTTTTTTGTCTTCACAAACAAGAACGCCAAAAGAAATAAGAGAATTTAAGTCTGGCGTATTTCAGAAAGTATTTGGAAACTTGGCTAGAATTACTACTTTTGCTGGTTGAGGTATATATATTCACCTATGTATGCAAGGGTATTACATCTGAACCCCCAAGGTAAGGAAGCATAGAAAACTGAATTTCTGGTTTATCAGAACTTATTTTGAAAGCTGATATATCATAAGCATGAAGAACGTCATATTACATACTAATGACCTCGCAAAAAGGAAAGACATTTGTGTAAAGATTTGGTTTGGAGTTCGATAAACCTAGAGAAAGGGTCATTTCATAAATAATGATTTAAGTACAGTATCTCCTAGCCCACCAAAACACTACGAGTCTCGTGGTTCATCAGTTTGTCTGGTGGGTAAGTCATTTAAACATATTCTTCTATGTTCCTAAATTTTGGCTTTCTCTTTCACACTAAGTTTTGAGAAGAGATAGGCAAAAGACAAGATGAGACAGAGGATACTGACGCAGAGCAGGGCAGTGGAGGGAACGAGGGTGAGCACCATAGGTAACCTGCAGGTACACAGGCACCAGGATTGGGGAAATAATCCCTGAAAAACCAAAAACTAAAGACATCTAGTATTGGAACAACTAAAACAAAGATGGATTGTAGGTAGGGTGAGACAAATAGTTAAGATTTGGTCTTAGGAAAAGTCAATGAACAAATTTCAGTTGCAGAGTAATCTACTTCATGCCTCATTGCCTCAGTTACAGCAATCAATAGACTGAAGTCTCAAATCAAAAATGGCCACCGCCCTCTCGGTTAGCGTCAAGAAGTACCAAAGCATGGATTAATGAAACGAGAAATGCGAGAGTGCAGCAAGATAAAAGTAAAGAAAAATTTCAACGAGACAAAGGCGTGAAAGCTGAAAAGAACGCTACTCTGAAACCTCTTAAGAGGGTTTTTAAGGCAATGGAGTGGTTATGCCTTAATCCCATTTTAGGAGGCAAGCAGGAGATTGCTTGGAAGCCAGAATGTCAAGTTATAGGAGCTATGATCATGCAGGCGCATCCAGCCGTAGGTAGAAGAGACACTTTTTAAAAAATGAAAAGTGTTAAAGTATTGAAAAAGAGTGTAACGTAAATTTGTCTTGATAACATGATAGAAGAATTTGAAACTTTATAGCATGTAGAGCAGAAACCCTTATAACGCTAGTCAGAATACATAGTCATTTCATACATTGTGCTTTTATGACCCAATGAAACAGATAGATTAGGATGGCAATCATATTTTTTCTATATTTAGGATAATTTTGCTACTTAAACTTTCTAATTAATGACTCGCGATGGTATAGTAAGAAAATACAGCGTGTCCTCCCGTTTGTTAACTTTTCATGTGTCTGCTTCATAGGCTGCAAGATGATTAGACTGTAGAAAGGTCTCTAATGGTAACCCTTTGTGTTTTCCTCATTTAGTTGTGTTTGTGCGTTTCCTTCAACACATACGGTAATATACAGATTTTCTGTACTTGACATCGGTGAAAAGTACGAAAAATATTCAGACTGGCGTATGGTCTTGGCATAGGGCACAGTTATTACTAATAATTGATGAGGGCATGGTGGTGCACGCCTGTAGTCCCAGCTACTTGGGAGGCTGAGGCAGGAAGATCACTGAGCCCCGGAGATTGAGGTTGCTGTGAGCCAGGCTGACGCCACAGCACTCACTCTAGCCTGGGCAACAAAGTGAGACTGTCTCAAAATAAATAAATAAATAAAATAAAATTATATTCTGTGTATGTACTCTTTATTATATACTGTAACACATATATAGAGCAGAGGGTTGTATGAAAACCACATATATTACACTTCCTGGGCAATTCTTTCTTTTTTAAAAAATTTATTAAAACAAATTATTTTTTTGAGACAGAGTCTCACTCTGTCATCCTGGGTAGAGTGCAGTGGTGTCACTGTAGTTCACTGCAACTTCAAACTCCTGGGCTCAAGCCATCCTCCTGCATTAACCTCCCAAGTAGCTGGGACTACAGGCGAACACCACCATGCCTAGCTAATTTTTCTATTTTTAGTAGAGAAAGGAGCTTGCTTTTGCTCAGGCTGGTCTCAAACTCCTGAGCTCAAGCAATCCCCCTGCCTCAGCCTCCCAAAGTGTAATCCACAGGCGTGAGCCATCATGCCTGGCCTAAAATAGCTAAGTTTCAAGAGTAATTTTCACTATACACAATAATAGACAAACTTTAGGTCCTAACCCTCACCTAAGAAGCAAGTCTCCTATTTTCCAAATGAAATGAGAATGTTAAAAAAAAAAATCAATTTCTTTAAAGTTACAAGAACAGTATCACACTGAGAACATAGGTTTCAATAAACACCTACTGGTTGGTTGATTGATTCTAATAGTTTAAAGAAGTGATATTCATTTTTACTCATTCCTTCAACAATTATTCATTGAGTGCCTACTATATGTACCAAGGGTTTATGGAATTCCTAAAGCTACTTCATCCACAGTCACATGATACCTTACCTTCCAAAAATCAGTTATGCTGCGAATAGACTTAAAGTTGGTTCTTTCTTCACCAGGCACAGAAGTGTCCAAAAATAGAGATGACATAACCTTGTTTAAGTAATACATATGTGGGTTTACCATCCCAAAAGTCACTATGGAGAAGAATTTTTTTGTTTAAAAAATTATGTTTAAAAACTCAGTTTATTAGGATTAAAATGTTACAATTTGTTCCTAATTTTGTTTTGAAAATTCAACTTTATTATTTTGTCTAATTATAAAAGTAATAACTTAAAAAATCTAAAATATACAAAGCAGGAAGAAGTTTCCTGTAATTTTACCACTACAGTTAGTTTGGTATATATTCTTCAGATTTTTTTATGCATCCACATTTATAAAGAACATAATTTTATCTTTACAAAAATGAGGTCACATTTATACACACTACTCTGCAAGTTGGCTTTTTCTCCACATTGAGAATAGTCAATATAGTATGGTGAGTGGTTATGGTTATATGGACTTTGAATTCTGACAGATAAGGGTTGAGTTCCATCACAGGACAGTATTTCCTACCTCCTAGAAGTTTTGTTGTAAGAAGTGAGATGATGCACATAGAACATTTAAGATTGTGCTTTGGCACATGGTAAGAGTCTTAAAAAATATTAACTAGTATTTTTTCTCATTCTCTTTCTTTAGGGGTAGTGGGTTTTAAAGATGCATATAGACTTAATCTTTTTTTCAGGAGCCCTTTAATTTTTAAAAACCATGTATCTTTTTTTTTTTGGAGATAGAGTCTCGCTTTGTTGCCCAGGCTAGAGTGAGTGCCATGGCGTCAGCCTAGCTCACAGCAACCTCAAACTCCTGGGCTCAAGCAATCCTCCTGCTTCAGCCTCCCCAGTAGCTGACTACAGGCACACCATGACCATGCCCAGCTAATTTTTTCTATATATATAGTTGGCCAATTAATTTGTTCTATTTATAGTAGAGATGGGTCTCGCTCTTGCTCAGGCTGGTTTCGAACTCCTGACCTCGAGCGATCCGCCCACCTCGGCCTCCCAGAGTGCTAGGACTACAGGCAAAACTGTGTATCTTCAACACCATTCCATGGCACATATGAGGCTATTTCATTCTTTAACAGTTGCATATTATTTCACTGTAATATCACAATGTTAAACACATCCTTTTGTTGATGTTAAATCCCTTCAGTTGTTTTTAGAAATTATTTAATTTAATTTAAATATAATTTAATTTTTTAAAGAAATTCTTTAATTTTTTTTTGAGATAGAGTCTCACTGTGTTGCTCAGGCTAGAGTGCTGTGGCATCAGCCTAGCTAGCTCATAGCAACCTCTAACTCTGGGCTCAAGCAATCCTTCTGCTCCAGCCTCCAAGTAGCTGGGACTAAGGCATATGCCACCATGCCGGCTAATTTTTTTATATAGATTTTTTATTGGCCAATTAATTCTATTTTTAGTAGAGACAGGGTCCACTCTTGCTCAGAGCTGGTCTCGAACTCCTGACCTTGAGCGATCCTCCCATCTTGGCCTCCCAGAGTGCTAGGATTACAGGTGGGAGCCACAGCACCGGGCCAGAAAAATGTTTTTTAAAAAATACCTGAATTGGCTGGGCGCTGTGGCTCACACCTGTAATCCTAGCTCTTGGGAGGCGAGGCGGGAATTGCTCAAGGTCAGGAGTTCAAAACCAGCCTGAGCAAGAGCGAGACCCGTCTCTACTATAAACAGAAAGAAATTAATTGGCCAACTGATATATTATATATACAAATTAGCCGGCATAGTGGCACATGCCTGTATCCGCACCCGGGAGGCTGAGGCAGAAGGATCACTCGAGCCAGGAATTTGAGGTTGCTGTGAGCTAGGCTGACGCCACGGCACTCACTCTAGCCTGGGCAACAAAGTGAGACTCTGTCTCAAAAAAAAAAAAAAAAAAACCGAATAGTGGGATTATGAATGACTTTTTACTTACACTTTTCCATTTCCAAATGTTCTATAATAAGCATGTATTTTTATAAACTTTTTTTTTTGAGACAGAGTCCTCGCTTGTTGTCAGGCTAGAGTGAGGCTTGTGGCGTCAGGCTAGCTCACAGCAACCTCAAACTCTGGGCTCGACGATCCTTCTGCCTCAGCCTCCCGAGTAGCTGGGACTACAGGCATGCACCACCATGCCCGGCTAATTTTTTATAACATATCAGTTGGCCAATTAATTTCTTTCTATTATAGTAGAGACAGGGTCTGGTCTTGCTCAGGCTGGTTTTGAACTCCTGACCTTGAGCAATCACCGCTTCGGCCTCCCAGAGAGCTAGGATTACAGGCGTGAGCCACCACGCCCGGCCTATAACTAAGCTTTTATAAACCATTCTAAGATACCTTAATTTTAAAGTTGGCTACAGTTGTCTTTTTAATCAAGATCTGGCTCAAACTTACCCCTATACCAATTAATTATTTAATTGGTATACAATTGCCAGTGTGTAGCACATACCAATATGAGATAAATCCTGCCAGTGAGCTTATATCTACTGTATGTTGGGCACTCTAAAGACAAAATGCTCTTGAATGCTGCCCTTCACATATTAAGTTAATGTATGACCTACAACAGGGATTGAGATTTTTCCCAATCTTCCTTAAAGATTGCATTGACTCAGCACAACATATTTTACTATTAACTGTGCAACAGGTCAGTGAAAACAAAAGTAATGCAAACAAACTTTGGCCCATTGTACTTTGATTTATGAAACTGAGTTAATGCATCTATATGGCTGTAAAAGAAATCAAATTGATTGCCAACCAAGGATTAATTATGTTCAAGACAGAACTGCCGGCCGAGTGCGGTGGCTCACACCTGTAATCATAGCACTTGGAGAGGCCGAGGCGGGTGGATTGCTTGAGGTCAGGAGTTTGAAACCAGCCTGAGCAAGAGCAAGACCCCATCTCTACTAAAAATAGAAAGAAATTAATGGCAACTAATATATATAGAAAAAAAATTAGCCGGGCATGGTGGCGCATGCCTGTAGTCCCAGCTACTGGGGAGGTGAGGCAGTAGGATTGTTTGAGCCCAGGAGTTTGAGGTTGCAGTGAGCTAGGCTGACACCACGGCACTCACTCCAGCCTGGGCAACAAAATGAGACTCTGTCTCAAAAAAAAAAAGAAAGAAAGAAAGGAATAATTATAATATACTCAATCAGTGTTGACTATGGGAGGTTCTCATTACATCTGTTGCCCCTTAAGAATTGGAAATAGTGTCAATCTAAATGAACTTAAGATAATAATGTCTAAGATGTGTCATTATACTTTTAGTTTTAGTAGTCTGACAGCCTGTGGATTTTTTGTTTTTGAGACAGTCTCACTCTTTGCCTGGGGTAGAGTGCCGTGGCGTCAGTCTAGTTCACAGCAACCTCAAACTCCTGGGCTCAAACAATCCTTCTGCCTTGGCCTCCTGAGTAGCTGGGACTACAGGCATGCACCACCATGCCCCGCTAATTTTTTCTATATATTTTTAGTTGGCCAATTAATTTCTTTCTATTTATAGTAGAGACAAGGTCTCGCTCTCTTCCTCAGGCTGGTTTTGAAGTCCTGACCTCGAGCAATCCGCCGGCCTCGGCCTCCCAGAGTACTAGGATTACAGGCGTGAGCCACCACTCCGGCCCGACAAGCCTATGGTTTTAAAGTATGAATGTTTTATTTTTGTATCTCCACATTTTAACCTTAGTTCAAACGATCAGCATCTTTATCTATATGTATGTACTTACATATACATAGGTTTATTAAAAAAATAAAGTAGAGTAATAACTCCTGGAGTGTGGTTCTAATTTCTACTTCCTTTCTGTAATGCAGCACATGTTTCGCAGCCCCTGTGAGATATAAGACAAAATTTTTATCTTATTGTGTAATTTAAAATTTATGTAAGTAACGATAGAAAAACAGCCGCTTTTTGGTACACTGTGCAAAAGGAAGCTCCAATGGTTCCTGGTTATTTTTTAATTTTCACTTTTTGGCAGCAGGGATAATTACTGCATTTTCCCATCAGGGTTAAGTGGGCAGTCATTTTACAACTATGTACTAAAAGATTTTATAACATGGATGTTTCCTCACGAGTCTTGTCTTCAATGAAAAAGCAAAATACAAAACGGACAACCCCCCCTCCCCCCCCCAACTGTCCCTAATCGTTTTTTTTCCACTCTCAAAACCGCTTCTTGGGGAGGCTGGCTTCTGCTGGAGGGGGAAAAACGCCCGGGCTGGAGATCTGTCACGATGACAACTCCCCAGGTCTACAAAATACTTTAGAGACCGGCCTAGGGATGGTCACTGGACAGCAGCTGACGACGCCCAGGGGGAGCTTCGGACAGGGGACAGTGCCGTCCCTTGCGGACCCAGTTTTCCCTCCTGTGAATCTGTCCCTCTCCGTTTCTCAAGGTGGGGCTGTGAGGGCCAAAAGTGTCGGCGGTCACACCGTTCGCACGAAAGGAGGTCTGGGGCTGCCGCGTTCCTTCCGGGGTATGTGAAATTGCCGAATCGTCCCTATCCCACCCACTCCTCAAGAGCAGCCCTCACCGCCTCGGTGCCACCTGGACGCCTCAGCCATGGCGGACTGGGACCTCTCCGCCGGTTCGTCCGGCCAGGCACTGCGGCGCTTGCGCGATGGGCTCGCGGCGCGCTGCCCAGTCCTACGCCTGCGCGAGCCTCCCGGCACCGCCAGGGGCGCAAGCTGCTCGGCCCGTCGCCAGCGCGCCTGCGCAGCAAGGACGCCTGTGCGCCTTTCGCCCGAGGCGGGCTGGGGATTGCGACGGTTGTCTCCTGCAGACGGCCAACTTCTGGGACAAACCCGGCTGTGGGCTTAAAAAATCGTAGTCATTAATTAGAACCGGTTTCTCTTTCTTGAATACCTTTAACATTTATCGCCTTGTTTAGTTTCCACATCCACCTCCGTGAAAGGTAGGTATTTTTGTCCTCATTTTAGGCCCGAAGAAACTGAGGCACTGAGAGATTACATAATCTACCCCAAATTGGGGCAAAATCTGGCAGATGCCAAAGCCCGAGTACCGTGACCTCACGCTGCTGCTGCTACTTGCATAGTAACTGAGAGTTGTGGCTAGAAGTGGCTTCCACTGTCCTTTCCACTTGATGTTAATTCAAATAGATTTTTAAGAAATCTGCAGTGATTATGTACAAGGGTAGGCCCAAAGGGTAGTCTTTGGGAGCTCAGACCCACCTCTGGCCCGTAAACTTTGCAAAGACGAGGAGATTTGTAAACCAGCTATAAAAAAGGCAACAAAAATTTGTAAATTAAGGCAGCCAAAAAGCCCCCCAGGATAGAAGACCGGAGAGATTCTGGCGGATAAAAAGGACAATGGAATGGAATTCTGTCCAAAGGCCCAAGGGCAGCTTGCAAAGAAAACCATTAAGCTGCTTTGAAAGTAAAAGATAAAGCCACTTTTGTTATTTCCCTGAAAGAGATGTAGAGTGATGTTGATAAATGCTGTTTTATGGTTAGATAAAAAGCAAAACTAGGTTACACAGTAGGGAGGGTCAAAAACTACCATTGATAAAAGGAACAGGAAAGGCAAAAGGCTGACAGCCAGTGAATTAGAGGCCTGAGACAAAAAAAGGGCTACTGTCCTAGCAAGGGAATAGTTTAATGAAAAGATTTGGGCTTTCCTGTACTGGGACTCTCAGATGCTCACAAAATGTAAGCATCTTTCTAATGTATCAGGTTATCTGAATTTGAAATTGTTGTAGGAAAAACCCTCAAATACGAGTATTCAAATTTACTTTTATTATTTTATTATTAGAGATGGAGGTCTTGCTGTGTTGCCCAAGCTGTTCAAACTCCTGGGCTCAAGGGATCCTTCTGCCCTGACACCCACGCTCAAATTTACATTAAGTATAAGAATTGAGCAGATAAACTCCAGAAACTACTCTTATTCCTTTGAGCACAGTAGACTCAGAGATCTTGAAGAATTAGAGATCTGTTTGGTTAAAACAAAATCGTGAATTCAGGAGAGATTCAGTCATGATTTAAGTTATTATGGTTGCTTTTGAAGTGCAAACCATGGAAAGTCTAGCTCAGTCTCAGGAGGAATTGGCTGAACTGTGAGTTTCATATTGTTCTAGAATATAATATTGTTGTCCTTTTAAAACTTGTTATCCCTAGTTGTTTAATATATAAAACCCAGAAGGTTTGGCCAAGTGTGGCTCATGCCTGTAATACTAGCACTCTGGGAGGTGGAGGATCGCTTGAGCTCAGGAGTTTGAGATCAGCCTGAGCAAGAGGGAGACCTGGTCTCTAAAAAAAAAAAAAAAAAAATCGTATGTTTTATTTTAAAGATCTAGACTTGTGAAGAGGAAGCAGTCTGTTTTAAATATTTGAATTTTATTCTATTTTAACATAAAGCTATGGAACACTCACATAATCAATACCATGTTAGTATTCCTACAAGAGAAAACAGGTAAAACAGTATTCAGAAAGCAGTACCAGTTAACCTTAGTACAAGCATTAAATTTGTTTGAAAAGTTGATATTAATTCATAACCTGTAATTGTTAAGTATGTATGACTTAAATGTTAAAATCCCATATTTTAAGATAGTATTCTACAATTACTAATCCATATACCCAGATTTTCTGTGAGCAAATGGGAGTAGATAGAATGTGCAAGAGTCAAAGGATAAATAATATTATAAATATATATGAGCTATATTACCTAATTAAAGTCATAATCTGTTAATACAGCTATGGATTTATTTCAAAAATGTAATTGAATAATATTCTTAATAGTGTAGCTGTGTATTTTCCAATGTTGGTAAAGTTATTAAAGTTCTTCACTTTCATAAAGTCCAGATTGAGCTGCCAGACGCTGAAATTCTCCTTCCGGGTTAAAAGCTTGTTTCACATCCAAACCTCTCCCGTTAAGTGCTAAATATTTGCTGAAGGTTGGTCGAACACGTAACTGCTTAGGAGCTGGAAGAGTTTGGTTTGGACGGGCTGAAATAGATCAAATAAAAGCTAATTCAGAAAACCTGTTCTGAACAAATTGGTTGTGCTATGTATTTATTAGATAGGAAAAGAAAAAAAATCAAAACTGATTACGTATAAACAATCTCTCAGATATTGTACTTTATTGAGATTTGCATTTCTTATTCAGTCTTCCTGGTTAAATCCTTTATAACACTTGGGTTGATGGGGAGACTTACCTGTAACATCCAATCTTGTGTTACATGTGGTCACTCCAGCTTCATTAACTGCAGACACAGTATACCACCCAGCATCTTTCTTGTTTACATCTTTTATCAGTAAAGTAACTCTTCCAGCGTTATCATGATATAAACTGAAAAAGAAATTCAAAACATGAAAGTACAAGAATTAATTGTTTTGTAAAAGTTTATTTAAGTGAAATCTTTGACATATAGAATCATGTCAGATATAAGAAAAAAATAAACATTTGAAAATTCTGGTAGTGTATCTATTCATTGCCAAATAGCTATTGGTTTTCTTGAATTAGATGTCCCCTCTTGTGCATGTCATTTATTTCCTTGAGCCATCTTTATTTATTTATTTTTTTTGAGAGAGTCTCACTCTGTTGCCTGGGCTAGAGTGCCGTGGTGTCAGCCTAGCTCACAGCAACCTCAGACTCTTGGGCTCAAGTGATCCTTCTGCCTCAGCCTCCCGAGTAGCTGGGACTACAGGCATACGCCACCATGCCCGGCTACTTTTTTTCTGTGTATTTTTAGTTGGCCAATTAATTTCTCTCTATTTTTAGTAGAGACGAGGTTTCGCTCTTGCTCAGGCTGGTCTCGAACTCCTGACCTTGATCTGCCCTCCCCGGCCTGCCAGAGTGTTAGGATTACAGGTGTGAGCCACCGTGCCAGGCACATCTTTCTTCATTGTTGATTAAAAGGTAAATCCTAGCTGCCTTTTTTTTATTTGTATTTATTTATTTTTTTGAGACAGAGTCTCACTTTGTTGCCCAGGCTACAGTGAGTGCTGTGGCATCAGCCTAGCTCACAGCAACCTCAAACTCCTGGGCTCAAGCAATCCTCCTGCCTCAGCCTCCCGAGTAGCTGGGACTACAGGCATGTGCCACCATGCCCGGCTAATTTTCTCTATATATATTAGTTGGCCAATTAATTTGTTTCTATTTATAGTAGAGACGGGTCTCCCTCTCCCTCAGGTTGTTTTCGAACTCCTGAGCTCAAACGATCCGCCTAGCTCTGCCTCCCAGAGAGCTAGGATTACAGGCATGAGCCACCGGGCCGCCTGGCCCCTAGCTGCCTTTATGCCTTAAATTTCTGATTAGTGGAATCTGGCTTAATGCAGTTTTATTATATATCTTTTAAAAACTAGACAAATTCAGATCATAATTGCATGCCATTTATGAGGTATGTTAAAATATAACTGGATTCACCCAAATAAATGATAGTAAGTTTAGAAATATATATCCTACCTTATTCGGTCTGTGTTGAATTGTACCATTTCATTATTTCTTTTCCAGAAAAGCTTTGGTGGAGGTATAGCTGAAATTTGGCATTCTAGTTTCACTGATTCCCCCTCAAAAACTTTTTTGCTCTGTGGTTTGTAGATAAACATTGGTGCTCTTTTATGTTCTTTTGCTGTATATTAATAAAAAAATTAAAGTATGTGAAATATTATAAAAAAGATATTAAATCAAACCAAAGCATTATGAAATTTATATGTTGATATTAAAGTGTTGAAAAGCAACAACAGAATTGGAAACTTTTAGTTTTAGTAAAAATAGTATATGATACTATTTTATTATACCATTCAAACTTCTAAAACTGTAGTGTAATGATTTGTTGTATTTATAATCATGTTTCATTCAAATAATTTGTCATGTTCTCATTTATCATCTCATCTATAGGGAGAGGCAGCATGAGTGGTGGAAAGAATGTCCAGACTTCTTGGGTTCAGCTTCTTTACTGGCTTCATGAGCCAGTCAAATTGGGAAAATTTTGTTTAATTTCTCTGAGCTTCAGTTTTGTCTATTGCAAAAATAAAATAAAAAATCAAATGGTAGTGACTGTTGTGCCTACCACACAAAATAATGGGGAGGAGCAATCGAAGAAATAATTTGTAAACTAGTAAAGTAATATACAAATATCAGTAATTATTATGACTTTACTTTTCTTCAGCTACCTGAGGAAAAGGGGAAATGATCGTACAGCACTATAAAAACCCTGGCTTTTCTGAAGGAGAAATGGTTAGACAGATGCCAGCCAAGATTTCTTTCCACTCTAATATTATAGTATTTCTGAAGTCATTGGTACAAACAGGATTTGCCCCAAATGTAATCACTTGAATTTTGTGGCTCACTAGTTTTTCCCTCAGATTGATTGAAGCCCTTCAATATATCATAGAATAATCTTAAAGATTTTTTTATTGATCTGAGTAGAATACAAATTCAAAAACATAGTTAATAATTTAACCTGATCAAGCTTTTATACAATAACAGTGAATTATAGCAAAATATCTCCTATGCAGTACACCATGGCTTAAACTATTACAGATGTGGTATAGGTTGGGTATCCCTTATCCACACTGCTTGGGACCAGAAGTATTTCAGATTTCAAAATATTTTGGATTTTGGAACATTTGCTGTATACCGTTGAAACCCTTAATCAGAAATCCAAAATGCTCCAATGAACGTTTTTTTCTTGAGCATCATGTT